GAGAATCTACGTCTAAAAAGACAATCACACATTAAAATTCAATATATATATGATTCCATATTATTATATGTATGTAATTTTTTTTTTCAATGAAACTCATAATATGTAAGTTGTATAGTGAAAGTGAATATTTTTTTTTTAAATGAAAATTGTACAATGTAAGTTGGATAGTGAAAGTTATAATAATGCGGAAAGGTATCATTAAAGTTTCAATAAGTGAATATGTTTTGGAGAATTAGCTTCTATTTGTAGTCATTTTGATCTTTTGTTAAGCTTGGATATCAAAAAAGTAAAAAATTTAGGGTGTGTTCTGATTTACAGAACTGATCGAGCTAAACTGAACTATAATGAACTGAACTAAATTATTTATAAGAGAAGGAAATTAGGAATTGAACTGAACTGAAATTAAGCTGAAGAGAACATAACCGTAATTGCCCATATAATTTTGTGTAGTGTACTCCATACTTTTATAGATCTTGCCCTAGCTATGTACTCATAAACAATATTTTTCTTAATACTTCGTATAAATCACTAGCCAAAGCTCAAATACTCTACGAGTACAGTCTACATAGTACAACTACACAAGTATTAAGATTAAGATAACTCATTTGTCTTTATTTAGTTTTGGATTTTGCTGAAATGTCAAAAAATTGAAAAGCCCATGAAAATCAAGTGACGATCTTGATGAATTGACAACAGATTAAAGAACAACCCCCCAAACTTCTTCCCACTTTTTATAAATTATTACATATTTGTAAAATATATACTCTGTATTTATTAATTCAAATCTAATAAGACCTCATTTAATGTAGTTTCTTCTTAAAAAAGTTAGCATACATATATAAGGTTACAGTTTAACCAAAGGAGTTAAACGACAGTTCGATATAATTATAATAGAGTGAACTAAACATAACCTAAATTCAGAAATTGGAATAAGAAACGTACAAGTATTAAAGAAGAACTACCGAGTTTTTTTTTTCCTTACAATCTGCTCTCTTTAACCACCGATATTAACAAAACACTGGTAGCTTGACCTTTAAGCGACTAAAAGAGCCCCTTTTCTCGATATATTGCTTTATTTTGGTTGGAGAAGAAATATCTTTTTTTTTTTTTATTATTATTATTATAAAATAACAAAAACCTACAAAGTCAAAAGATTTACAAGAAATTAGTGGGGAACCGAGATACAATCTGGGCCCCCACCCCTCTAGCTATAGCGAACCCAATCCTGTTAAAGATGTGAGCAGCCGCACGAGCTCCAATATCCTGAGTCCTAGCGAACGCCTGAACCCGCTTCAGCAACGCAACGACATCCTTCTCTAATTCCCCCAATGAAAAAAAGGAGAAAGGAAGAAAACCATAGCCAATAGCCCTGCAACGCGCCCCATACGTTCATTAGTTTACTGAACTTACATGCAGCTAAACAGAATTAAAAAGTCAAATTGATGGCCTATTTGATTCGATGTTCAAAAATCATATGCTTCGTACTCACATGATCACATCATGTTGAAAATGGTTGAGAATCCACAATTTGTTGAGATTATATCTAAATTTCCCATTTGAATTCAATTGTAATGTATATTTATCAATTGAAATGCATCCAACACATATATATCACCTTATAAATAATGAAGACGTAAAACACCTTTGATTGTTTAAAGGTCACGTACATTCACCTTTTATTTAGAGGTAAGAAAAATAATCATTAAGAAGAAGCTAAGTCCAAGTGTCCAACCTCCTAACAAGGAAAATTCTTAATTTATCATAAGAAAAACATGTAAAAATGCTAGAGTTATTACATAAATCAATTTTCGTACTATCAAATGTACTAAATAGCTAGCCTCCATAGGCTCCATTAGTGATTCAGTTTGCAACATGATTTTCCTCTTGGTAGATGTGTTGGTTACTTAAATTGTGAAACTGAGTGAGGAGATCGATCGAGAACGAGTGTTTTCGATAATATGCTTGATTGATTGGCCAAATTAAAGGATTGCCCGGTCCTAATGTCTTCTATTGATTTGATGACAGGTTATCACCTCCAATTTAATTTGAATGTTCTGAATGCCACATTTGAAGAGCTTGCTAGTTAAACTCCTCTATTATGAATAGTTTGGTGTTGTCGATGTTAATTATATATAGATGCTTTAATAAGGGCTCCACTACTACCTTTGATGATGACTTGTTGCGTATCAGTCTTCAAAGTTGTTTTAAAAACGTTTTTGGGGGAGTTAAGCCTTCTTCCATGGTATAAGAATATATGATGTAGAATGACTATGAGTAGAAATGTAGAATGTTCAAGGGATCTTGGAATATGAAATACCTTCATGGAAAAGATATTTGTTAGGCGTCAAATTGCTCTTAGTGGTAAGTCCTAAATATCTCAAAATAAGGTTAATTTCATTGCAAAAGGTAATTACTATACACTACGTCTTTTTCTAGATGTCAAAGTTATACCTTGTGTTCCTTTTCTATATATCTCATATTTACCACCTCCTTTATTATTTTCTTCTACATTTTTATATGATTATAAGGTCATTTCAATTCAACTCAAAAAAATAGACTTAAAAGACATGGAGGTAGGATATTAAAATATTGGCAAATGGATGACCAACTATATGGTGGTAAATAGAATATATTTTTTATTTTGTGTTGATGAGCAAAATGTTTAATGGTGTTGCACAACAAAGATAGAAGTGTATGAAATTGAATAGCAAATGTATTTAGCACATACTAAATCAAACTAATACCTAATAGAGTAATAGTAGCTAATTAATACAGTAATATACCTAAATGATGACATATTGTTCACACTTAATAATTTGGAAACCTTTAGGAAGGACATTTTGGCGGTGCTTATGGTCCTAATGGGTGACCCACACGGCCACAGTCACACACCTTCATTTATGGGGTTTGCCTTTGGAAAATGGCAATAGTTCAAATCCTACCTCAATTCTTTTTTCAACTCGGTTGCAATTTATGTGATTTTTGATGTATTTATTTGCCTTTTATAATCATTTGGATGTATTTAACTCTTTTGTTAAAAAAATTGATACCATGGAGAAATACACAACGAAATAAGGGTCTGTTCTCGTACGTTTATTTTAATTCAGTTCAGCTCAGCTCAGTTCAGTTCAGTTCAACTCCTAATTTCCTTCTCTTATAAAATATTCAGTTCAGTTCAGTTCAGCCGAGTTCAGTCTATGAGAATAGGCCCTAAATCCAGCTAATAAATTTTCGCATAACAATATACCTTTTTTTCCCTATATAACTAACACATTTTATGTAGCTAGCCATGTTTGTCAACAAATATTTCAAATATAAAGATCTTCAATGATCTTATAATAAAAAAGTTATAAACATTTTATATTTAAAAAATAGACGTGGAGACGTATTTAACAAGTTAATGCTAAATCACAAAACAAAGTCAACGTAATTTATATAATTAGGCTTTGTTCACTTCATGTTAAATAATAATATTCAGTAAATATAATTTCAGTTCAGTAGAAACAATTTCAGTTCAGTAATAATTTCACTTCAGTAAAAATCAGTAAGTTGTTAGAGATAATTAACTTTTGCCAATTTTTATAAATTAGACAATTTTTTGTTATTCAAAATATAAATTAATACTCATACCAACTTTGAGATATTTATCTTACATAGGCTTTAACTGTAGGTAACCTATTTAACATGTTAAGTGTGACATATTTTCTGTTTGATTGGTTGACCCTTTACTTTATTTTATTTTTACAATTTAATTTATTTAAAAAATGATTTTAATTTTAAATAAATTATTAGCCCTTTTGAAGTGAATTTTAACCCATTCTATCCATGAGGTGCAATGATGAAAATTGTCTCGTTTGCATGCTGTAAAATTAGTCGATTAAGATTTTAGGGGTTGATAAAAAAAAAAAAACTCATAATTAATGCTTCGGGTAGCATACCTAAAACTCGTCTCAATTTGCATACGGAGTACTAAGCTTGTATAGGCAAACACAAATAATCATTTGGGAGGCAAAACATGACTTTACAAAAAGAAAGATGCTTTTAGGGGTGGTGCTTTGGCTTTGGTGGAGAGTGGAGACGAACAAATGTAGCAGCAACTTTAGTATATAATTGATCTTTGTTCCCCTATAATATAGGTTGATCATGGGCTTGGTTCAGCTTCAGCCATAAGGCATATAAATGACTGTTTCCGACCAAGAAAGGTACGTAGTTCGAACTAATTTCCATGCATAAGTTTAATTTCATGGGTTTAAAAATTATGCCCAAAGTTCTAGGCTTCAAAAGTATGTTTAAAGAAGAATATAGGAGTATAGGACTAGAGGAGAGATCGATCAGGATAAAACAGTAAAATATATTCCATTATGACATTATCTTAAGAATTGCGATACTCCGGGTTACATAAATAAGATGTGGTACAAGAAGAAGGGATAAAGAAAAGGGTAAAGAGAGAATTAATAAGGGTATTTTAAAAAATTGTCAATTATTAAAATCTTATTTCAGTCCACAATGTATTTGAGCTTTTTTAAAAAAAGTTTTTTATTATTATTATTATTATTTTTATATCCATTATATCATCTTTGTCTCATCCTTTTATTTCTCTTATCTCTATCTCTCATGCTAGAAAGTAGAAATCCTACAAAGATCAGCGTCATGCCATCATAGGCTCATAGCTCATTTTAATTATACTTATCTTAACACACATGAATTTTATTACTTTGAACTATTTCTTGATGATTTGTGTCGTAATATTGAATAATTTTATTAACATTAATTCTGAATATTCTTTTATAGTATAATGTATTAACTATTAATCGATCATTCCTATTATCCTATATTTAAAATTTTATGTCTGAATTGTTACATCGTGTATATAAAAGCTCTAGGCATCAATTACTCGAATAAGCCATGACAATGTACGCGTACATATTTATTATTTCCAAAACTCATAGCATAAAAACGGAAAGAGGTAAGAAATGACTAAATGAGTCAATGACCCAGTTCATTTAAGAGCACAATCCCTATTTTTGGTCAGCATTGTTGAGACTTGGCGTTATAAACCCTTTAAAATCAACCTGTCTAAAAAAACCCCTGTAAAATCCTTATTATTTCTTATTGCTGTCTTGAATTTTCTAATTGCTGGTAACAAATCAAAATCAAGTACGAATTTCTTTGTCCTAATCTTTTTTAGTAGAGCAATTATATTTTTCATCTTTTTTTAATTGCGTTTGATTGGCCTTCTTATTTAATTCTTCAATTATATAATATATGCTTTTTTATTGTACAAATTATTTGATTATTTCTGCTGAAATTGGCAATTGTTTTCAGTTGGGTGTTAATGATTCTGCAAATTATCATCTGGGTATAAGCTGATAAGGCTCAATTATCATCATGGAGAGCGGTTTTAATGGCGGACTTGCGGGATTTGATATTCATGGGTTTCGCACCATGGAAGGTACTGTAATAGATTAATTTTTTGATCGATTTCTTTGCTGCTTTCAAGATGATGTCATTTTTTTTAATTTAATTTTATAATTTTTTGTTTTATTATATTGCTATAAATTTTTGAAAGTTTTGATTTCTGTTATTTTCCCTCTTTCTTTCTTTCTGTTTGTTTTTTTCTTTATTTATTTATATTTATTTATTTTAATTATAAGGTTAAATTGATTTGAATATATAATTAATTTTGGTGTGATTATTGCTGAAGATTATATTGGGTTGGTTTCGGAATATTGTAGCTGTTTTTGCTACTGGTGTTTTGCAAGGAGACTGTAGTGTTATTTTTACCTTTGAATTTGCTGTACTTGATCACTTGATGTAGAATGTGAAACTCGGCCCAAGTTCGGATTGGTTTGAGTTATGTAGAGTTGGGAATTCGGCTTAAGTAGATGTGTAGATTGAGGCCAGTATCATAATTGTATAAATTTGAATCCCGGGGGTAGGGAGTGGGGGCGCGTGGGGGTGGGGAAGGGGGTGGGGGTGGGGTTGCCTGGATGTTGGTTAAATGGTCAATGCAATGATTCTTATGTCTTTTAAGTGCTGATTGTCGACTAATGAAAGAATAGTTACAAACAAGCATGGTAGTTATAGCTTTGTTCCTCGAGGTAGGGATGATTAGTAGGTGATCAACTTGCATTTGTAGTGTTAATCAGTCGTTACTACCAATAGAGCGTCTGCTTGCCTTTTCAGCCAGTGCCATTGATTACAACTGATTTAGGGCCTAATTTCAGGAATAGGTAAGATAAAGGTTACCCTAATAGGTTGAGATAAGTTCAAGTAAGAAAACTTAAGTTCTGATAAGTAAAAATCCAGTGAATCGAATGCTTCCTTAAGGATTCATTGGATATGGTTTTCACACTCTTTGGTTTGAAGGTCTGAACCAACTTATCTTTTACTTGGGCTTTTTGTTGGAATCTGGATGTCTGATGAAACGTTTTTACTCTTAAATCATCTCCTTACCCAAAACCCATTGAGCTTGAAGGGTGTAGATGGTATTCCTAACTTGTATCTAGACATTTTAAATTTAGTTATCTTTGTAAGAATACTGATTGCACTCCTGCTATTGAAATGTATTGAGTTTTATAGGTTACTATATGTGATACTACAATATTTGCAGGAACTTTATCAAAAATTAAACTTGCGGTTGGAGGTCCATGCCACCCACACAATAAACGGCTCTATAAATTTTTGCTATCTTATCTTTGGTCTACTGTGATGGTAGTCTATAATCTATAGCTATTGTACCATGCATGTTTGAATGTCATGCACAAAGTTGACTCTTTGCACTTATGTCAAGTATGGAAGAACCCAGCAGAAAAGGTTTAATGTGATTGCATAGGTGAAGTAACAGAATTTTAGTCCTGAGGCTCGTTCAAAGGACAAAACATATGATTTGCTATTAGATATGCTTGATGTGATGGACCCATATTCTGACTCATGGGCATGAACAAATGCTTTTGGTTATTTAATTAGTTTGTATAGGTATCTGCTGCTGCTTTTTGATTAGTCGTTCTTCTCTTGTAATTTTTGTGATTTTGTTCAGGCAATGTTTTCTCAAAGCTTATCTCTCCCCTTCAATTGTAGATTTGTAGTGGGCCCATGGCAGTAATTATGATCTTTGAAGTACTTTTTCTGGTATAAGGTTTTGAAGTTCGTCTCATCTTTTTTTTTGTTGACAGATTTGGACATCCCAAACATAATGAAGGAAGCCAAGAGCAGGTGGCTCCGTCCCAATGAGATCCATGCTATACTGTTTAACTATGCTTATTTTACCATCCATGTCAAACCAGTGAACTTACCAAGAGGTAACTATCTTCTCTAGTAAGTTTTTTATGTGATCGGAGTCTGATTCTGGACCTGCGAAAAGTGATTGAGATTCAATTAGCAACTATTAAACATTTGTGGCTTGAGCCAATTTTGGTACTTGTTTGGAAATTGGCTTATGTGCCACTTTACACCAGTTTACAGATGCCCGCCTATGATTGGCTGGTAAGCTGGTTACATTAGCTTGAATATATATTGTTAGCAGTTAATATAGTTGCTGTTAATGATATTAATAACTGTTGCATGTCTGAGAAATTATAATGTTGTGTATTACAGTTTTGTTGACTTTATCGTGATTATATTGTAAATTTGTAATTATATGGTGTTGCAACTGTCTATGTAGATTGTATACAACCCTATGTTTATCTTATTTTTACGGTTTTACCTCATTGAATGTATTCTTAAATTTATCATTTTGAACAATTTTCTCAGGGGGCACGATTGTGTTATTTGATCGTAAAAAGCTACGGAATTTCCGGAAAGATGGTCACAATTGGAAGAAGAAAAAAGATGGAAAAACTGTTAAAGAAGCTCATGAGCACCTCAAAGTGAGAAACTGAGAACTTTAATTATTGGAATTATAGTCTTTATTAAAGTCCTTAAATTATCTATTGATATTCCCCTTCCCTTTGTCATGGTTCAAGCTTCATTCTCCTGGAATTTTTTGAACTTCAGTACTCTTCTGTGCATGGATTTTATCTCAGCTTACTTTGATGATACTTTCTTAACAAATTAGTGTTCAAAGTTTGAAAATGTAGTAGTGGTTGTTAAAATCTTTTTGGTGTGTGTTAACATTCATTTGCATATCAGTTGACGGGTTTGCCCTTCTCTTAATGTGACTGTGCCCACTATTTAGTATGTTTCCAGCTTCCTCTTGCTTCAGGAATCTGGAGCTTTTGCTCCCCCCCCCCCCCCCAATTTACAATCTAGCCTATCTTCTGTGTTGGAGATAATTTTTTGTCTGATGTTCAACTATAAACGTAAAAAAGAGTTTTGTGGCTGTAATTTAATGCTTAATTGTAAGAAAATTACGTAGCCATGTCAATTTGTGGGTTAATTCTCAGTGCTTTATACTTCATTGTTCCATACAGATTTAAATCTGTTTTGTTTTGCTGAATTTTCCATTTGATGTCTTCTTTCCTCACATTTCCCTCCTTTTTCCAGGTCGGTACTGAAGAAAAAATACATGTGTACTATGCTCATGGTGAAGATAACCCAAACTTTGTCCGCAGGTGTTACTGGTTGCTTGATAAGTATGTATGTTTGAAACCATTCAGTTTATTGGTTCACAAATTGAAATTTTGTAGTAATCAAACTAGCATACACCTTTTGTTTTCTTGTGTCTAAATATCTTCAGATAGGATTGATTGCTATTTTCATTGTTGTTCCAGGTCTTTGGAACATATAGTGCTTGTTCATTACCGTGAAACTCAAGAGGTTAGCTTCTTGGCTTATTAATTAATGACTTGAGAATAGATCTGTAATTTTTCTGGAATTTAGCTTTCCGTTAAAGGCTCAAGGGTATCCTGACTTGATTTCTAGAAGAGTTGGGAGTAGAATTGAGGGTATAAGAGGCTAATCTAATGCTAGAGAGCTAGTTTTGAAAGTGGATGGTGGTTGGAGAAGAGGGGTTTCTATATTTAGGATGAATTGTTGGCAATTCCTCTTTCATATTCTAAGAAATGAGTTTAGTCAGTAATTTTTGCTGCCTTTTGTGATTCTTTATAATTGCAAACTGGGTAATCATTGCAACAACCTCAATTGACCAGTACATTGTGCTATTTCTGTTTCGAAAACATTTTGACCTTTCCCCGTTTCTTTGCATGGAAAGAAACAAAATCCTGCATTTTAGCATCATATTGTAAATGCATACACAAATAGTGATTAACAATTGCATATATAACAGTGACAAACCCTAACATTGTTGTGAATGACACAGAGTAAGAAACTAGCTTAAGGGGAAGGGTAGTTTAGGCAATGCATAATTAATTGTTAGATAAGAGGTAGCTCAAGCTACATAAAGAGGGAGTTAAACTATATACAGAGGGGTTTAGGGAAAGAACGTATGATGAAAATAATGAGAGTGTTAATTTACTTGTTTAATTTTGATTAGTTTAAAATAGAGTAGCTACTCTAAAGCGGGAACTGTAAACACTGTTGTTGGTGTCTTAATTGCACCAACATTTTCATCATCCATTAAACTTACCCAAATTTAATTCTTCTACCTCAATTCTATTAACACTCCTGGAAGACAAAACTATGAAACATATTGGCAGTTTACTCAATCTCGCCTGGCCAATGTGGCAACTTATACAGGGTGAGTTTATGAATTGAGTATACATTGTACTTTTTATATAGGGTGACGTTCCTGTGAGCCTTCAATGTAAGTTTTTAAGATTGAAGTGTCAATTTTCAAGTATTCTATGTCTGTCTCACAAGTGTCATTTATTATTTTATTTTATTTTTTAATTTTTACATCAATTTTTCAAGTATCATTTCTCACAATGCCAGTTTTTGAGATTGAATGTCATTTTCAAGTAATTTCTCTGTTTATGAGTCCTGCTTTTCAAATTGCAAGTGTTCTATGTGAATTACTCCTTCCATTTTTTTCTAAAAAAAAGCTAGAGTTGAGATTGCACGGAGTTTTAAGGGGTTTAATAAAATAAGATGTTAATGGGTAGATAAAATTATTATTTTATTGAAAAGTAAAGTGGTGTGAGAGGGAGTGGAGACCATTGGAGAAGTGAGAAATGATAAAGTAAGAAAGAGTGAGGACATTAGTGGGTAAAGATATATTATTAAGTTGTAAGAGATTTCCAAAAGAGGAAGTGCAGTTTTTTTTTTAAAAAAGGGACGAAAATAGCAAGTGTAGCTTAAAAAAAAAACAGAGGGAGTATCAATTTTTCATTATCAAAACTCCAAAGCCAGCTTTTTAAATTTGAGTGTCAGCTTTTAAATATATTGTCAGTTTTACAAGGTTTTTGTCAGTTTTACGATTGTCCTCTTCTAAGTATTCTGTCTCAGTTTTATATGCAGTTTTTCATCTTTTTCTTTATTGCATGTTTTAGTGTTGGCTCTTAACCGATTAACACCACAATGATGGTGTATTTTGTGGTGCGGATTCAAGGAGAGGGTCACACAAGAACCTAAGTCTGAGTGGATATGTACATGTATCAATGTATGTCTTGCTAGTTGCTACTAGTTTGCGTAATCTTATAGATTTGCCGTCTTTTGGTTTTGGGCATCCACTTCGGCACTACATTTTGTAAGATATTGATTTTTTTTTCCTCTTGTAGATAATCTATCTTTTTTTAGGTAAGGTCAAATTTTGGGTTTCAATTAGACCACTGCTCAAGTGCCTGATGGGGGGTGTGGATATAAGGGTTCAGGCTTATTTGTATTTTTTTTACTACCTCTGATTTTTTTTAGTTGCAACTTTGGAATATTTTATTTCTCTCAAATGATACCCCAAAGTTGCAACTAAAAAAAAATCAGAGGTAGTATTATAAACGGAAGTGCTTTCTGTGATCTCCACTGGGATTTTGTTGTTGTTCTGAATTCAAAAGCCTTACTTTGAAGCTGTGGTGTTTTATATTTTATATTTTATTTTATTTTATTTTATTTTTGTATAAATTTTGTAATTTTTTTTATAATCAGTTACAGGTTTCTCCAATCACACCTACAAATTCAAGTTTCCGTTCGGACTTATCTGACTATTCGGCTTCTCCACTTATGTCAAGGGGAAATGACTGCATGGTTGATCAAGTAAATTACCCAGCCATGAAAGCATGCACAGGTAGTTGTTTGAAAATGTAAAATTATATATCAGATGTTGCCTAACCCCCTGGCCCCTTCTTTCTCCTCTTGAAGTATTGTGGGCTTCTAACTTTCTCTGTGGAATGTCAATCAGATCTTGGTGATGGTATCAATGTGAACCATCATGAAATGAGACTGCATGAAATCAACACACTTGATTGGGATGAGCTTTTATTGCTGAGTGATCCCACCGAAGCAACTTTAACTACTAAAGGTAACTATGATGCTCTTCACAGAACAGTGCCAATAGACTGCATCAAATTTCTTTCTCATTTCCTTTATTTTGCATCTTTTCAAGCAGAACAGACTCCATACCTTCATCAAGACAACCAACCTGCCGCATTTACATCAGAAAATAATGTAAGTAGGTGATCTGAGGCTAAGTTTATGAGAATAAAAAGTTCCTCTTTCCTGTATTATTTGTTGTCTAACAGCTTCTATGCCTCTCAATTCTCAACCATAAAAGTAGTTCGTTCACAATAGATGCTACTAGTTTCATGTTCCATCACCTCATCTCAGTAAAGGCTGTCCTTGCTCCTTTCCTTGATATCATACCTTTAAAATAAAAGTGGGAAGCCTGTAGGAGCTCTTAGTTAATACTGCTAGGATTAATACGATTACATTATTACATTAATCAATTAGATCTACTGACGGTAAGATGCAGGTGTGTTCTAATTGTTACTCTAAAGAAATTATAAGTATAAATATAAGATTTATTGAATGCAGTTGATTGTAGTTACTTGATTTAAGCTTTCAGGGATAACTTGATTTCTTTTGCATTTGCAGGGTAGCATTTTGTCAACTGGAAACCCTCATCTTGATATGCTGACTTCTGGAAATTCTATGAACCCTGTTGCAGGGACAAGTCCTGCACAATTCAGTAATGTGGGTGACATGTATCTTTCCTTGATGGGGGTTCAAAAAGATCCAAAGGTGGAAGGAAAAATCTATGATATGGGGACTGTAGGTGCAGGGAATTTATCAAACAAAATGGCAAAAGATGGTTTGCAAAGTCAAGACAGCTTTGGAAGGTGGATGAATGAAATTATAGTCGACTCGCCTGAGTCAGTGGATGATCCTTCATTTGAATCTTCTGGAGCAACTAGTCATGGATCTCTTGTGTCTTCAGGAGCAGTAAATCATGAAGGACCTGTCCCAGCACAGATCTTCTGTATAACTGATATCTCACCAACATGGACATTTTCAACTGAAGGAGCAAAGGTTAGTATTAACTTGCAAGTGTAACTATGTTACTCATGGCATAACGGCCATTTCATTTATCAGGTCATTTTGTGTTAAATGGGCAGTCACTAATTTGGATTTGTAGAAGTAAGAAGAAGAAAATTTGGGGAAAATTGATTGTAATTTGGTGAAATAAAATCATCAAATAGGGTTTACAGTCCCTGTCTTAGGACCAGTTAGACATTCCCAATTACAAACTAAAAAAAAATGTGAACTTCTCAATAATTTTCCGCTTTGTTTCCTCTCAACGATCTCCTCAATGTATAAGCATTTATTAATTTCCTTCCCATCCTCACCTCTAACAATTTCACCGCCTTGCTCCCCAAGCTATTCTTATCCAACAAATATTGTCATACTACATGTGGTTAAAGGCAGAGCTGTCTAGCGTTAATGTTTTAAAAAATTTAGCTGCCTAATTTTTAGTTAGCTTCTTAAATTATAAGAGACTATCTTTTTTCCCATGCGTCTGTGTCTGTTTAGTCTAATTCTGAAATGAATATGCTCGGTGAAACTTATTTTTAGGACTTAAAATCTATAAGCTTGAGGATAAGAAATTTTTGACCTAATTTCACTTTTGAACTGCACTTGATCTGATCACTATATGGGGCCCGAATGTTAGATTTAGTTTCATGTGATAAATTTCGAAGGAAGACTATGAACTCATAGCTGAGAGCTGTAACATTTAGTGTAGTATGTTGATGCTGAATTGTTTGTCTTTGCAAACCAGTTATCTGGTTCAGAATAGTGTGAGAATTATGAAATGCTTGAGGTTTACATAGTCAAAATATGCATGCATGCATCCTAGTTCTACAGTTGACCATATAGTCCATATCACAATACATACGTTTATTCCATCTAAATAAAGCAACTCTAGACACAAAATACTGCATGTAAAGGAATTTGATTGTTTGGCTTGGCATGATTTTATATTAGCACGAACATAATATCTGTGAGCACAACATTACTTTTTTAAAGCTATCATGTGGACTGTGGAGTGCATAGGCACCAAATTTGAGGTAAATGCAAACAAATTTCCCAATTAAAATGCGACTTTGGAGGTTTATATATCCTTTGATAAAGATCTAATGTTGATATTGTCTCTTTGCTATTTGTTTGGACGAAGATCTACTGTTGATACTGTCTTTGCTATTTGTTGGAGAACTCTCCATGGATGCACAGCACACACATCTAGCTGCTTTGGTGAATCAATATTGAAGAGTGAACTATAACTGTCCTCACTGCTCTTTGTTAACCTTAAGATTTTTTTTCCATTTAGAACTTGTTTATTATTCTCTCAGTCTTTTTAATGATTAACCCATTGAGAGTTCTGTTTTTGCTAAGCATGTGGGTACCTTTTATCTTTTTATTTCTTTAATTAAGGGGTAAAGTTGTGAGAAAGTGTGATATCCCTTTTTCTAAGCATTACGTAGGCCGAAGAGAAAAGGTGAGAAAAATTGAAGTTTCCTACCATTTCAAAACTGAAGACTTCATTTTTTTTTTTCACCCTTCTAAATTCCATCAACTAAATCTTGTTCATTGTAATTTGGAACGGTACTTGGATATGTGGCAATTGAAGCATAATTTCAAGAAGTTATTGCATAGAGAATAGAACTGCAAAGTACAAAATTGAGAAGCATATGCTTGAACGCAAGAGAAATTAGATAAAATTTGAATTTTGATTGAGAACCTGGGGCTGTAATATCTAGGTCTGGGTTTCTAAATCGCTGACAAAGAGCTAGGATTTCGGTTTAGATGCATTTTGTCCCATAATCTCAAAATAGAAGGTTCCAATTTTAGAGAAAGTTAAAGAGTGATCTACCAAAAAAAAAATACAGCACGTTTTTGGTCAAATGGGACTCATTGGAGTAGCGAAGGAAATGGCAATTATTAAGGGATGGGAGTAGTTGTTAGCAATTTAGATGGCCTCTCTTATAAAGGCTGTTATAAAGGTTACTTGGGTTCTGCTGATAAACAGATTGGGACTATCTAAGTGGCACGAGAAATAGGATGAATTATCAGGACTTGCAATTGTGTAGTTCAACATGAAATCATCAATTCTTTAATTTAACATGTTACTGTTTCCTAATTTGGTCATTTGTGAACCTTCATTTATTTATTCATCTATTTATTTATTGTTGCAGATATTAGTTGTTGGATTCTTTCACCAAGAATACCGACACTTAGCAAAGTCAATTGTATATTGTGTGTGTGGTGACACATGTGTTCCTGCTGAAATTATTCAAGTTGGAGTGTTTCGCTGTATGGTTTCGCCCCAGAGTCCTGGATCCGTGAACTTTTACTTGAGCATTGACTGTAGCACACCCATAAGTCAAGTGCTTACTTTTGAGTTCCGTCCTCCAGCAATTACTAATCAAGCTGTTAGAGAGGATAATTCTCAGTGGGATATGTTCCGGATACAGATGAGACTTGCATTTTTGCTTTTTACCACATCAAGGAGCCTTGACATTCTATCTAGCTTAGTGTCACAGAGTGCTTTAAAAGAAGGGAAAAATTTTGCTCTCAAATACTCAAATGTTGCTGATAGCTGGGCTTATTTTGCAAAACTAATACAAAGTGGTAAGATCACATTGGAACGAGCTAAAGACAATTTGTTTGAACTCTCTATTAAGAGCAGGCTTAAGGAGTGGTTGTTGGAAAGAGTAGTTGATGGCAGTAAAATCTCTGAACGTGATGATGAAGGTCAAGGAGTTCTGCATTTGTGTGCTATCCTTGGTTATACATGGGCAATTTATTTATTTTCCTACAGCGGCTTATCATTGGACTTCAGGGATAAGTTTGGATGGACTGCTCTTCATTGGGCTGCATATTACGGGAGGTATGTCAAAGTCAAACCATCTTTATTGCATTGCTGACTATGTATTGGTTGTTCATCAGCTTATTGCATCCAATCATACATTATTATGGCTTGTTAGTACTAGGTAATAACTTAAGGTGAATATGAAGTTTGTTTGTATTTTTATCATTTATCTCTGGAGAGTGTCTAAGTATTGGCTCTCCGTTAGCAAACATTTGGGCTTGTGGTAATGAAATTGAATGAAGCACAGAAAAGTCTCACAAATCAAGATTTACTACCCTTAAATTTCCTTGGACATTTCATTTAAGTTACTACCATGTGAATAGAACAGTTATTTAAATAAGAGTAACTGATTTTACCTGGTCTTTAGGATAGCACATTTTAAAATCTTTGTTCAGGCTTTTTTTCTCTATTTTGCATAAATATCCCTTCTGAAGGTTAATGTAAGTATGCAACCTAAATCAAACTGTAGTACGTATCAATAAATTTGCCTGGTCTTAGGATAACTATGCAGTGTTATGATGTACTTGCATTGTAGTATAATACTTATTGAGCAATATTTGTGAAATTTTCTGAAAAGGGAAGTGGTGCAATAATTAAAAAATGGAGGAAGTATAAATTAACAAGACAACTCATTCAATGATTTTGAAGTATGGCTGTTCATTTTTGATGATTGGCTCCAAGATTTGCTTTACAGGGAGAATATGGTTGCTGTCCTTCTCTCTGCTGGAGCAAAGCCAAACTTGGTTACTGATCCAACTTCTGATAACCCTGGTGGGTGCACAGCTGCTGATGTTGCATTTAAGCAGGGTTTTGAGGGCTTAGCTGCTTATCTTTCTGAAAAGGCTTTGATTCAGCAATTTGAAGATATGAAGGTTGCAGGAAATGTTGGTGGCTCTCTTGAAACCCACACTTATGAGACTGCGAATCCCAGCAACATAACTGAAGAGGATCTCTATCTGAAGGATTCCTTGGCAGCTTATCGTACAGCAGCTGATGCTGCTGCACGCATACAAGTTGCTTTTAGGGAGAATGCACTCAAGCAAAAGACGAAAACTGTTGAATTCTTAAACCCAGAGACTGAAGCACAATATATTGTTGCAGCAATGAAGATACAGCATGCTTTCAGAAACTATGAGTTACGGAAGCAGATGGCTGCTGCTGCTCGCATACAACATAGATTCCGGACATGGAAATTTCGTAGAGAATTTCTCAATATGCGACGAAAAGCTATCAAAATTCAGGTAAATGCTAGATCTTGATGCTCATGCTGTCATACTGATTAAAGTATTAGCTGCTCCTCCGTGGTTGTGTCATCACTTGTATTTTTTTTGTACATAAAATTTAGGAATACCTTTGACCTTATATATGTTGAGTAGGATCCAAGATCATCCTTCTTGAAGGTTTTCATATGCTTCAATTATTTGATGTGATGCAGTACATATGATAGTGAGATCCTTATATCTTGTTGATTTCCCTCAATATTCTGAGATACTTTATAGCAGGGAACTTTCTGATCATCAGTCAATGTGTCTGATCCTCACTGCCAGTGTCTGAGTCTGTAGCACACACCTTATATGCATAATTACTCTGATTTATTATCATATTATTGTTCAAATGAGATAGCTCTGATCTTGTCCTTAATTCAGGCTGCATATAGGGGCTTCCAAGTGCGCCGCCAATACCGAAAATTTATATGGTCTGTTGGGATTCTTGAGAAAGCAATACTGAGATGGCGACTGAGGAGGAAAGGTCTCCGTGGTGTTAAGGTTGAAATTGAGGAGCCTGTTGATGATCAGAGGCGAGATAGTGACACAGAGGAAGACTTCTATCGAGCTAGCAGGAAACAAGCTGAGGAGCGTGTTGAAAAAGCTGTAGTCCGTGTACAATCTATGTTCCGTTCAAAGCAGGCACAGCAAGAATATCGAAGGATGAAATTAGCTCATACACAAGCACAGGTGCATAGAATTTTAACATCCTTTCTAAATTCTAATGGTATTTACTAATAAAAGGCTAAGCAAATTTCATTCTCTGCAGCTTCACTTCGAAGATTCAGGCAATCCTAATGGCTATATGACCGATATATAGTCAGCTGCACGTTAGAATTTTTTCGTGGGAGCGTATTATGGTTATATGGGGAAAGTGATGCTGTTTCAGCTCTGTACATGTCTTGTAAAGGTGTAGATATGTAGAATTGGTCAGTTTGCCCCGCACGTAGTACTACCCTTCGAGTCAGGGGCTCATGCAAGCCTCTGAGAATTGCCCTTTCTTTTCTTTTTTTTGGAGGGAGGTGGACTTTTATCATATAAGATTACTGTTGGAGGACAGAATACTGGTTCACCTTCAGCTGTAAAAACTTTAGGTTATCTGTGTTGCATAAATCTAATTAGGACATAATTCTGGTTCTCTATTGATATACCTGCTCACTCATCCAATCTTTATACTTGTTTTCGCAGTCGTAATATATCACAAGAGTTAACCTAATGATAAGAAGTCCATGGGAAATTTTCTCAAGAATTTATTTCAAGTAAAAAAGAAACAAAATTGAATCTTCTTCTAGTATTTAGGATTCTGACCCAATATGCTTCTAAACGTTGGGGCGTTATTGTTACTTGTACTAATTTTAGTAATTAGATTTTAAATAACAAAAATACGTTAACACTTTAGGCACATATTATTTGTACTTTTAACGTTTTTAGCACCAATCTGCCAAATAATTTAACGGCAATTAATAAGACATGTAAGAGGATGCATAAAATAGATTAAGAGTAATGAGATTGTTATATTAGGTAGAGTTCAATATTGTACTCCCTCCGTTTATATTGATTAATATGTATGAAATAAAGACAAGTACCGAGTACTTTATAAGTACGTGTTACAAATTAGAAAACCTTTCTCAACAAGAATCAACCTAACTAGTCTTTCTCGACAATAAAAAGAGAATGAATTAAAGGTATTGAGTGAGCCACTTAAAACCCTCTCCATACCCCATCTTACGAACAACACTACACATGAAAACCTCCAACGGACGTACATTGCTATCATCCTCAATGTTAACTCTACCCTTACCCGTCGTGCAGTTCATCAGATCCAACTCGTAAATCAAGTCACTCTCCGAGGCGGCCTTTAAGAGGTCGATCTTGTTGCCTAGGATGAGGAACGGGACCTTATATAGTGTTTCTTCGGTAAGAAGTGCATTGAGCTCCATCTTAGACTCCGAGAACCTTTCTCTGTCACTAGCATCAACTAGGTAGATAACAGCGTCCACCTACATTGCACACAACACATACTTAAATTCGAGGATTCGAGGTATATGTAACACATGTAGAATGTAACACATTATATGTTGTGAATAATTGTGATAGACATGTAATATATCATAGAATCATTAGGAAACTAAGGCAGACACCATAAAATTAGTCGTGTAACATCTTTATAGTGTTAGTTGCTTCTTTATATCTCACTCGACAAAATTACCATCAAGCTAGAATTACAAGGCATGAGTTTGATGCTTTTACTACTCACTTGTATTCTTGTAATGTTGTAACACGATATAAGACACAGTTAAAAGTACAACCACAAGATTTCCTCCCTCCATCCGAAAATAATATTTAACACAAAAACTTTTGGTTGTTAGCTTGTGATATCACAAGAATTTATAAGCCCTCCTAATGTCATATTATTGAACTTTCAAAGATGATCTGTCAATAAAAACTTAAAAAGTGCACGTGAAAGAATAGTATTTATAAATCAAGATTGTTTTCTAGGAAAATCATGTCATATCCTTAATTATGCACAAAGTGTATATAATAAAGGGTTCAAACGTGAGTTAAACATAGATACGTAGTTAAATCAATACCTGAGTATAATAATCCTTCCAAATTCGACGAGCAATTCTATGGCCACCCAAATCAAAAGCCTTAAAATTAACCCTTCCAATACTCAATTCTTCTGATGTAGGTTGTTGTGTTGGTTGATGTTGCACCAATCTCTGCACCCACAAACCAAATTAAGGTTAATTATCACAAACCCATGTAAATTAATCAATTAATTATCACAAAAAACACAAGAATAATTAAATTTAAGAACCTCGTCTTTCAACATTTGAAGCAAAGTAGTCTTGCCAGCATTATCAAGGCCCAAAAACAAGATTTTAGCTTCTTTTTGCCATATTCCTAGTGTTGCTAATATATCATAGAACCAATCTACTAGAAACATTTTTCTTCAACTAATTCGATTGAATAATCAATCAAAAACTAAGAAATTTAATATGATCAATAAAATTCTAGACGAAAATATAAGAGAAAGAGTTTATGTTTAGTAGAAAAAAAGGATTAACGGAGGAAAATATATATAGGAGGACTAGAGTAGAATCCTAGTCCTAGTATAATTTGGAAAAGGAAACTTTTATTGTGCTTATGTGGCGTTTTTTCATTGGATTATATCCGTCAATTAGTTGTCAATGGGCCATTAATCAATTTAGAAAGACAAGAATATTTGAATTAGTCATGTAAACAAAGTTAGCACTTTCCATAATAAATTAAGATAGGGTTAATGAATTCCTAAAAAAAAATTTAAATAAAGTTTATCTAATTTATAAATAAAATAAGTTTGACTTGGTAATAAGGTCAAATTATACTCCAATTAACCCTTTTTGTTTTTAAGAGTAGAGTTGTAGAATCATATTTTGAACTATAAATTACTCCATAAATTTTGCTTAGTTTTATGTTTGTTAATTATAATTAATATCGATAAATATTACTCTGTAATTACTAATATATAAAATGTTGAGATATTAAAAATATATGTTGAGATGAATTAAAAAGATTCTACATAATTATTTCTTAAATATAAAACACTAAAATTAATCCAAATAAAGTGTGTGTTGAGTGCAAAAGTTACAATAAAATTTAATAGCCATAAAGAAATAAAGATGTACAACTTGTCTTATCTACTCCGTAATATCTTCAAAATAAATTATTAGGGGGTGAACCCTCATAACCTGTTAATTGCTCATACCACTCATTATATCACAATCTAGAATAGTGTTCTTGGATCCATGCCTTTTGCAAGCGTTGTACACCAAAGTTGGCAACTTGTCACAGCTGAGCTGCAGCTTCTCCCCACTTCACACACCCGACGCACTCCTGCAAGGCTGCAACACACAGCAGCCACTCCAGACTCTAATTACAGCTCCTCCAAACCAGCACCGTCCAGCGCATAAGCATCAGTATCACCCTTACCAACCCACAGTTACTTTGCTTATAAAACACAGGAAAAGTTCTCTTTGATCTTTTTTTTGCTTATATATTAAATGTGTGTGAAGGTTGCTCCTGCAATAAGACAGTGATCCTACAAATTACCAGTTTTTGTTGAAATAAATATGTTTCACTTCATGAGCTTCATTAGTGAGACTACTACAATTCCAATTACTCTTATTTAATACTGTAAGTTTCTTTAAAAGGAGAGGATGTGCACTAACACTAGTAATCCAAAATATTATGGCGCAACTTCAGAACAAAGAAACACAATAGATTATATCTTCCTTAGGGAGTTCCATATTAGCACAATCAGCATGACAAGATCTGACAGCTTCACGGTAAGAATTAAAGAATCAGTCTTACGAATTCTATCTGTAGTCACAAGAAACATTGAATAGGAGTAGCAACAGAAATCGAAAGTACAATTCTCTTAATTCTAGTCTCAGTTGATGTATTGGGAAACCCACTTAAATCCATCACCATATCCCATCTTGCGGACAATGCTGCACATGAATACTTCAAGGGGGCGGACATTGGAGCCCGAAAGATTCACTTTCCCCTTGCCTGTAGTGCAGTTGGAAAGACCCAGATGGAAGCGTAGCTCTTCTTCGGAAGCTGCATAAGGGATGTCAATCTTGTTCCCGAGGATAAGAAATGGAACATTGGCCAAGGCCTCATCTGAAAGTAAGGCATCGAGCTCCTTCTTTGATTCAGCAAATCTCTCCTTGTCAAAAGCATCCACAAGGTAAACAACAGCATCAACCTGAAACAGAAAAGAGCAAAATGATAAGTGTCGAGGCAAAATAGCAAGAAAATACTACACAACATGCCTGAGATAAGAAGCTATATGTAAAGCTCCAAGGTATATAAAAGCATCATTTGCAAAGTTTACATTAGAAGTGTGTATGAGAGAACAGTAGGTAAGCATGATACAAGGCCCTCCTCACTTTTTACACTTCCCAATTATATTTATACAAATACTTAAATAAAATAGCAAGGCAGATGGACAAAAGTGAACAAATTTCATATCTTCTAAGAAGCCTAAGATTTTGAAGAGTGATTCATTCTCTTATGTTGAGACAAGAGAGTAGTCCCTGAGAGATTTTGAAGAGTGAGTCAGCACGTGTCTCTGATTAATCGACAACAATGTCATAAACTACAAACCCTTATCATGCAACAAAAAAGAATGGTAAAGAAACATTTTAACATCATTAATCAGCATTCCAGCACCCAATAAAGAACTCCTGCCTTTTGTCTGTAATTTAGTTCATCCTTGGAAAATGATGAGCCGGAGAAAGAATTCAAGACCAACTACTGTGACCCACAGCTCTACTTCGTAGGAGGCTGCACAACCAGCTACCTTCATACGGGAAAGGAACGAGCTTTGGAAAACAGACAAATTGCAGAGGTCTTTCCCGTCACAGAGACAGAACTGCTAGCTACAGCACGGGTGCTACTGGTGATTAGAAAATGCTTTACCACTCATCCTATAATTTAGCAATTACATTTTCATGGGACAATGTCAAACATTTAGGTAAAAAAACTCATGGAATCGTACAGGGCATTCCCTTTCTCTTTACAACACTGGACAGATTAAAAGAGGGTACATTGACAAGAAAAATAAACATCAACCCCCAACCAAAAGGAACCAAGCCAGGGAACATACATGCAGGATGTTCAAATGCTATTCTCTATGTAGCACTACCTCCTCTGTCATGGTCCGATATCCCTACCCTAAGTTTCAGTTAGGCAGCCAACATCACACTGCTGTTCTAACTGCCAAGCAAGCGTATCAAAAAAAAAAAAAAAATCTTCAGAGGGAAGCGAAAAGCCTGCGGAAAATGGATGCTGCAGGTCCATCACAGATGTTTTGGAGAAGTTCATTCCATTTAATGAGTTGTAAAGAATGTAAAGTAGTAATTAGTAGCACAATAGGTTTTCATGATTAGACTTTTTGCAGATCACTTCAGCTGAACGGCCTCCGGACACTATTTCAGAAATATAATCATCAACATCTTGTTGAGCCTTTACATGTCACACATCCTAAGAGATTGAACATGCTGCTACAATAGAAATTTCCACAAGCATGAAATTAATTCACTTTTCCATAGAAAATCAAGATATTAATGGAAGGTCCTTTGTGAACATGCCCAAAAGATGGAATCCCTGCACATTTTAAATTAATGTACTTCCTCTGTTTTCTTTAGAAATACCCATTTTACTGTTGACTCTTGTTTCTAGAAGAGTTGATTGGGTGTGAGAAAAAAGGTGATTACTTTCTTACCCCCTGCCCTTTCTTCATATAATATTCCAGCACTAATTCTCTTCAAAGTGCTTGCTCAATAGCAGTTACATTTTCTTATACCCAATAATCAAATAAAACCAAAAATTGCAATATCACACTCAACAAGAAAGATCAATTTAAGAATTACATCTGGAAAACGAAGAGAATACAGGATTGTGTTCATGTAAATACATCCTTTTACGCCTTGTTCTCTTTACTTTAAAAAACAACTTTAGTCAAACAAAAGGGATCACAGTTGGTTTCACAGCTAAACTAATCTCAGACAAGCTTAAGTTTATTTAAATAAGTTCTGGGTTTCAGGTGGAAGAAGAAAGCCTTAAACAAACAACACAATTTTTCTAGCATCGCATTTTAAGATTTAAGAGACTCTTTAGTTCTAATATATTGCATTTTTCTAGCAACCAGCGGTTTTGGGAATGGATCAAACATCAGATAACACATCAGCACATGAAAATTGTAGTAAAAGAATGGGTATACATTGTCTAAAAATAGTCTATAAAAACTGCATCTTCATACAAACCTTAAATTCTTCAATGTGCATTCAGCCATACACTATGACTCTCCATGTAGATAAAGTTCACCAAATTGTAAACAGAAAAATCCCTGCACACCTTTCTAATCTAAGCACAAAAGACTCATGATACTTTGCAAGTCAAGCCTCTAGAATATATAAAAAAAAAAAACACATGACAATCACAAATGTGCAAACACAACACCAAATCAGCCTCCCTCAAAAATAACAAACCATATTAGCCCCCAAACATCAAACCATATTTACAATCAATGATAAAATCCAGCACAAGCAGATTCCGGTAGTTCGAATTCTAGGGGGTTAGTAAATCGCATATAGCACTTCAAGAACCCCAGTCGTCGTCATCGTCATGCACATCCTCCAGAGATAATTGTAAGCAATACATTATTAAAGTTTCACAAACGAGCACTTTTATCAAACCTAGACCTCCATCTTATACCCCAAAAAAGTTGGACTAGCTTCAAATTCAATTAAAATTCTCATGATCAAAAAAATGTTCATCAAATCTGCCACTCCAATCTTGAAACCCCACAAAAATTAGACTACTTTCAAATCCAATTGATCACCCAAAAAAGAGACTTTTCAGCTCAATTGACTTTTATAATTGCTAATAAAGCCCCAAACAAAAATTGGATCAAAACCAAAATTTGTCATAATTTTCGTAACTTAGCTATATGAACATAAAATACCAACATACATTCATCATAATTCATCATAATTGATGATAAATAATAATATAAAGCAAATTTCAACAACAAAAAAAAGGTCAAACCTTGGCATAATAATCCTTCCAAACTCTACGAGCAATCTGATGACCACCCAAATCAAAAGCCTTGAACTTGATTTTACCAATGCTCAGCTCTTCCGATGTAGGATGCTGAGTTGGCTGATGCTGAACTAATCGCTGAAAACCCAGAAAAAAAAACAAATCAATCAATCAAAAAAAGTCAAAATCCCCAAATCAAATAATCAAAAACCCTTCAAAAAAATTACCTCATCTTTCAACATATGAAGGAGAGTAGTTTTTCCGGCATTATCAAGACCTAAGAAGAGAATTTTGGCCTCTTTCTGCCATAACCCCAATGATGCAAGAATTCCATAAAACCAATCAAAAAGAAACATTTTTTACAAAATTGGGGGTTTTGATTGGAATTTGAGGAACTGGGTTTTGGAGTGAGATTTGATTTGATTTGATTTTAAAGAAGAATAAGAAAATGTGAAATTATAGGTGGGGTATTATTGACGGAGATCTACAAGAAAGGAAATAAAAAATAGAGTGAAAGTGGTTAGGTTTGAGATTTTATTTTTTATTTTTATTTTAATTTTTCGAATTCCTTATTATTATGGTCTTTATTTTTTTTATTTGGTGCTGTGATTTTTGTATGTACTACATACGTAGTAATACATATGACCTCGTTGTTCACGTTCTCTAGCTACCTAAGTACCTAGTAGTGTTAAATGTTAACTCACATAGTCACATTTCCTCAACTGCACAAAAGCTTGGGAAATTTAGAGCCTACTACTTAAGAGCATGCACAATGGTGAAGAAAAATAAAATTCCTCACCACTCTCTCTCTAACTTTCCCTCTCCTCCACATCAGATTTTTTTGTGAGGAAATTTTTTTTATCCCATCAATGAAAAAACCAAAAACTCTCTTACTAATCTCTCTCTTACTTTTAACCATACTCATCTTTCTTTCTCTCTCTAACATAATTTATTAAAAAAAAAAAGAAAAAAGGCATAAACGTAAGAATTAGAGAGATTGGGGCCGCGTGAATATTTTTGTGAATAAGTTCACAGAGTGAACTTTTTTACAAAAGTTCATGAAATTTTTAGTAAAAAATTACCATTGGGATAAAATTTACCCCAAAATATTTCTTCATGCAACGAATTTTATCACCATTGGAAAAGCTCTTAGGGATCCAACCACTATGCCACAAATTTCTTTCTATGGTTATTAAATACTTGTATTAATGGCAACAAATTTATGTTATGAAATGACTTATGAGGGGTCGTGTAACGCCCCAATAATTCTCCCATTTCCAAACCACTTACTTTAAATAAAAATAAAGGAGAACCATTGGCATGTTACCGCTACGTGTTAAAACGTTAAGGCTTTATCAAAGTATTGCAGTGGAAATCCAACTTAAATATTAAAATAATATAATTTAGAAAACCAATAAAATCACACCAATCCCTTGACAACACGTATGTCAAATCCCCGAACTTCACATCATCAAGCTAACATGTGCAATACTGCTCCCCAATAATACAAGTGTAATAATTGGATCATCACAGGGTCATTGAAAGGCGAAGGCCATGACCAAAAG